GATAGATAGATAGATAGATAGATAGATAGATAGATAGATAGATAGATAGATAGATAGATAGATAGATAGATAGATAGAGATAGATAGATAGATAGATAGATAGATAGATAGATAGATAGATAGATAGATAGATAGATAGATAGATAGATAGATAGATAGATAGATAGATAGATAGATAGATAGATAGATAGAGATAGATAGATAGATAGATAGATAGATAGATAGATAGATAGATAGATAGATAGATAGATAGATAGATAGATAGATAGATAGATAGATAGATAGATAGATAGATAGATAGATAGATAGATAGATAGATAGATAGATAGATAGATAGATAGATAGATAGATAGATAGATAGATAGATAGATAGATAGATAGATAGATAGATAGATAGATAGATAGAGATAGATAGATAGATAGATAGATAGATAGTAGTAGGATAGATAGATAGATAGATAGATAGATAGATAGATGATAGATATAGATAGATAGATAGATAGATAGATAGATAGATAGATAGATAGATAGATAGATAGATAGATAGATAGATAGATAGATAGATAGATAGATAGATAGAGATAGATAGATAGATAGATAGATAGATAGATAGATAGATAGATAGATAGATAGATAGATAGATATAGATAGATAGATAGATAGATAGATAGATAGATAGATAGTAGATAGATAGATAGATAGATAGATAGATAGATAGATAGATAGATAGATAGATAGATAGATAGATAGATAGATAGATAGAGATAGATAGATAGATAGAGATATAGATAGATAGATAGATAGATAGATAGATAGATAGATAGATAGATAGATAGATAGATAGAGATAGATAGATAGATAGATAGATAGATAGATAGATAGATAGATAGATAGATAGATAGATAGATAGAGATAGATAGATAGATAGATAGATAGATAGATAGATAGATAGATAGATGAAGATAGATAGATAGATAGATAGATAGATAGATAGATAGATAGATAGATAGATAGATAGATAGATAGATAGATAGATAGATAGATAGATAGATAGATAGATAGATAGATAGATAGATAGATAGATAGATAGATAGATAGATAGATAGATAGATAGATAGATAGATAGAGATAGATAGATAGATATATAGATAGATGATAGATAGATAGATAGATAGATAGATAGATATAGATAGATAGATAGATAGATAGATAGATAGATAGATAGATAGATAGATAGATAGATAGATAGAGATAGATAGATAGATAGATAGATAGATAGATAGATAGATAGATAGATAGATAGATAGATAGATAGATAGATAGATAGATAGATAGATAGATAGATAGATAGATAGATAGATAGATAGATAGATAGATAGATAGATAGATAGATAGATAGATAGATAGATAGATAGATAGATAGATAGATAGATAGTAGATAGATAGATAGATAGATAGATAGATAGATAGATAGATAGATAGTAGATAGATAGATGATAGATAGATAGATAGATAGATAGATAGATAGATAGATAGATAGATAGATAGATAGATAGATAGATAGATAGATAGATAGATAGATAGATAGATAGATAGATAGATAGATAGATAGATAGATAGATAGATAGATAGATAGATAGATAGATAGATAGATAGATAGATAGATAGATAGATAGATAGATAGATAGATAGATAGATAGATAGATAGATAGATAGATAGATAGATAGATAGATAGATAGATAGATAGATAGATAGATAGATAGATAGATAGATAGATGATAGATAGATAGATAGATAGATAGATAGATAGATAGATAGATAGATAGATAGAAGATAGATAGATAGATAGATAGATAGATAGATAGATAGAGATAGATAGATAGATAGATAGATAGATAGATAGATAGATAGATAGATAGATAGATAGATAGATAGATAGATAGATAGATAGATAGATAGATAGATAGTAGATAGATAGATAGAGATAGATAGATAGATAGATAGATAGATAGATAGATAGATAGATAGATAGATAGATAGATATAGATAGATAGATAGATAGATAGATAGATAGATAGATAGATAGATAGATAGATAGATAGATATAGAGATAGATAGATAGATAGAGATAGATAGATAGAGATAGATAGATAGATAGATAGATAGATAGATAGATAGATAGAAGATAGTAGATAGATAGATAGATAGATAGAGATAGATAGATGTAGATAGATAGATAGATAGATAGATAGATAGATAGATAGATAGATAAATAGATAGATAGATAGATAGATAGATAGATAGATAGATAGATAGATATAGATAGATAGATAGATAGATAGATAGATAGATAGATAGATAGATAGATATAGATAGATAGATAGATAGATAGATAGATAGATAGATAGATAGATAGATAGATAGATAGATAGATAGATAGATAGATAGATAGATAGATAGATAGATAGATAGATAGATAGATAGATAGATAGAGATAGATAGATAGATAGATAGATAGATAGATAGATAGATAGATAGATAGATAGATAGATAGATAGATAGAGAGATAGATAGATAGATAGATAGATAGATAGATAGATAGATAGATAGATAGAGATAGATAGATAGATAGATAGATAGATAGATAGATAGATAGATAGATAGATAGATAGATAGATAGAAGATAGATAGATAGATAGATAGATAGATAGATAGATAGATAGATAGATAGATAGATAGATAGATAGATAGATAGATAGATAGATAGATAGATAGATAGATAGATAGATAGATAGATAGATAGATAGATAGATAGATAGATAGATAGATAGATAGATAGATAGATAGATAGATAGAAGATAGATAGATAGATAGATAGATAGATAGATAGATAGATAGATAGATAGATAGATAGATAGATAGATAGATAGATAGATAGATAGATAGATAGATAGATAGATAGATAGATAGATAGATAGATAGATAGATAGATAGATAGATAGATGATAGATAGATAGATAGATAGATAGATAGATAGATAGATAGATAGATAGATAGATAGATAGATAGATAGATAGATAGATAGATAGATAGATAGATAGATAGATAGAGATAGATAGATAGATAGATAGATAGATAGATAGATAGATAGATAGATAGATAGATAGATAGATAGATAGATAGATAGATAGATAGATAGATAGATAGATAGATAGATAGATAGATAGATAGATAGATAGATAGATAGATAGATAGATAGATAGATAGATAGATAGATAGATAGATAGATAGATAGATAGATGATAGATAGATAGATAGATAGATAGATAGATAGAGATAGATAGATAGATAGATAGATAGATAGATAGATAGATAGATAGATAGATAGATAGATAGATAGATAGATAGATAGATAGATAGATAGATAGATAGATAGATAGATAGATAGATAGATAGATAGATAGATAGATAGATAGATAGATAGATAGATAGATAGATAGATAGATAGATCAAGGTGCTATTGGTAATGATCGCTTTGTAAAATTTAGAAGTTTTAAGAAATCTTTCGTTCCATTACAAACTTTTCGAACAACTAAGTAGATCAGTTTTTTTGTATACAAATCCCCTACTTACACAACATAATCTACCGAAAGGTCATAAGTCTTAAATTAAAACCATAGATTCTCTTTTTTTACAATTAGTTGTAAAAGTTGTAACAACACAAATAACGACAAGAACAAATGATGATTATATTTGAGGTGAATGAAATGTTAAATGGAAAAAAAATAAAAAAGAATTTAAGAGAAACATATTTCTTTCGGAGTGTGATGTATGGGCACGCATTTCCTGCTTAAATCGAAACAGAATAAACTAAAACAGATGAAACTTTAAAAACATCCAGATATGTTGCTAGAACTATCCAGCAGTTGTGGGAGACCATTGCCAACCGATATGTGATTAGTTATTTGTATAGTTTAGTTCTAGAGGACCCAGACAACTTGATTACTTTTTACATTACTTAGGATCACTAAAGTAACAATTGAATACATGTTAGATTACCTGTAGTGAGTTAAGTAATTAATTGACTTTTTAACATACAGACATATACCAAACAGGTTCTGCCAGTACATCTAGTCTGCCGGGACCAATAAACTATGTAAGTAATTCATTTAGAGGTCTGAGCAGAGTACTAACCTATCTGGTAACATGGGAAGCGAGTGCTTGTGGTTAAACCCAAATCGCAGAAAAAGAATGATGGTATTGCCTAGACAACAGATAGTGAGTTGATGTCAAATGAGTGCGATATATATATTCATCCTATAGCATGAATCAGGGGTATACAGACCACGCAATACCTGCATAGTCGTATACACATATGTATTGGATGGGATGTAGTTTTTACGTAAAACTTCCTAGATGTATATAGACAGACAGACGGACACAGCTAAATCGACTTTCCTATCTATAAGGAATCAGAGTATAGAAACTTAAAGGATCGCAATATTTTAGTGTGAAATATACAAACGGATTGACAAACTTTGCAAAATATGTGAGTTGTTTTTATATTGAAAGAAACAACTTTAGATTGACTACTCTGTTGATTACTTTGGATTACCAAAGTGAGAATAGGTACATCAACACATTACCTGCTATGTGTTAAGTAATCTATTGACTATTATTTATTAAATAGAAGACATAACAAACTAAAATATATCAAAAATGGACTTTAATCAAGAAAATTGTATTTAAATAAAAGGGTTACATTGACTACCTATAAAACTGCTGGGTAATGTAAGATGCGCATGTTAATTAGCGGAATTTTCCAAAACAATTTGAACGCACATTTGAAAACATTTAAAAACGTGTTTGTTTAAAAATCTATTATTGATTATTTTGAGGGAAAATGTCAAAGTGACAGGTGGTTTACACAGCAGAGGGGCTAGCAAGCTACTTTAAAGGTAATACATAGAAGAAAAACATTTAAGATACTTCAACTTACTTGGATTATTGTTGGTTTCACGCCAATGTGTTGCCGCTTGACAGCCAAATGTTGAACGACTAATGCCTTTACAACAGGACCATCGTTTGCCAGACCAGAGACCAGGATGAAAACGATATGACTTGGGGGTGTTTGTATCTTCACAAACTGAAATGGAAAAAAAAAGATATAAATTTTCAAGGAACCTTAAAAAATTAAATATTAAAAGGAATTTTCTCTAAAAAAAACTGTTAAAAAAATCCTGTCAAACATCCTAAATTATCCGCTTAAATTTTTCTAAGCTTTTGCTTATTATTCCATAAAATTTTAGAATTTTTTTCCACAGTTGTGTGCGCCTCATTTTTGTTAGAAAATTTTAAACAAGATTTTTTTTCTTCTTGGGGATAAAAAATGGGTCAACACTTTAACGAACAGTTCAAATTTAACCACAATATAAAGTCAAAAGATCACGACATGATGAAGGAGAAACTGTAAATTTAACCACGCCACTAAAAAAAACTATATATTGGGGAAATATCATGTATATTTGAGTTGTTTTAGCAAATAATCTGTTGCTGCAAACACAAAAAATATGAAAGAGCGTATAGGCAACCAAACAACAACTTGGGAACAACCTTAACAAGCAGTAAAAGCAACAACAAGCGACTTACAACAACCAAACCGTTATAGTAATTTTGACATGTATTTTTTGGAGGGCCATTCTTTTAAAGGAGTTTCATGTTGTCTTAAATTTGGAGAGTAGCCACTATGTTACAGACTAGATTATACCCTAAACTATAGACTAGACTATAGAATAGACTACAGATAGACTATAGACTACAGATAGACTAGACTATAGACTAGACTATAGACTAGACTATAGACTAGACTATAGACTAGACTATAGACTAGACTATAGACTAGACTATAGACTAGACTATAGACTAGACTATAGACTATAGACTAGACTATATACTAGACTATAGGCTAGACTATAAACTAGACTATAGACTAAACTATAGACTAGACTATAGACTAGACTATAGACTAGACTATAAACTAGAATATAGACTAGACTATATACTAGACTATAGGCTAGACTATAAACTAGACTATAGACTAAACTATATACTAGACTATAGACCAGACTATAGACTAGAAGAGACTAAAGACTATACAAGACTATAGAATAGATCATAGACTACACTATAGACCAGACTATATACTAGACTATGGAGTAGACTATAGACTAGACTATAGAACTGAACTATAGACTAGACTATAGACTAGAAGACTAGACTATAGACTAGACTATAGACTAGACTATAGACTAGACTATAGACTAGACTATAGACTAGACTATAGACTAGACTATAGACTAGACTATAGACTAGACTATAGACTAGACTATAGACTAGACTATAGGACTAGACTATAGACTAGACTATGGACTACTATAGACTAAGACTATAGACTAGACTATAGACTAGACTATAGACTAGACTATAGACTAGACTATAGACTAGACTATAGACTAGACTATAGACTAGACTATAGACTAGACTATAGACTAGACTATAGACTAGACTATAGACTAGACTATAGACTAGACTATAGACTAGACTATAGACTAGACTATAGACTAGACTATAGACTAGACTATAGACTAGACTATAGACTAGACTATAGACTAGACTATAGACTAGACTATAGACTAGACTATAGACTAGACTATAGACTAGACTATAGACTAGACTATAGACTAGACTATAGACTAGACTATAGACTAGACTATAGACTAGACTATAGACTAGACTAGACTAGACTATAGACTAGACTATAGACTAGACTATAGACTAGACTATAGACTAGACTATAGACTAGACTATAGACTAGATTATAGACTAGACTATAGACTAGACTATAGACTAGACTATAGACTAGACTATAGACTAGACTATAGACTAGACTATAGACTAGACTATAGACTAGACTATAGACTAGACTATAGACTAGACTATAGACTAGACTATAGACTAGACTATAGACTAGACTATAGACTAGACTATAGACTAGACTATAGACTAGACTATAGACTAGACTATAGACTAGACTATAGACTAGACTATAGACTAGACTATAGACTAGACTATAGACTAGACTATAGACTAGACTATAGACTAGACTATAGACTAGACTATAGACTAGACTATAGACTAGACTATAGACTAGACTATAGACTAGACTATAGACTAGACTATAGACTAGACTATAGACTAGACTATAGACTAGACTATAGACTAGACTATAGACTAGACTATAGACTAGACTATAGACTAGACTATAGACTAGACTATAGACTAGACTAGACTAGACTATAGACTAGACTATAGACTAGACTATAGACTAGTCTATAGACTAGACTATAGACTAGACTATAGACTAGACTATAGACTAGACTATAGACTAGACTATAGACTAGACTATAGACTAGACTATAGACTAGACTATAGACTAGACTATAGACTAGACTATAGACTAGACTATAGACTAGACTATAGACTAGACTATAGACTAGACTATAGACTAGACTATAGACTAGACTATAGACTAGACTATAGACTAGACTATAGACTAGACTATAGACTAGACTATAGACTAGACTATAGACTAGACTATAGACTAGACTATAGACTAGACTATAGACTAGACTATAGACTAGACTATAGACTAGACTATAGACTAGACTATAGACTAGACTATAGACTAGACTATAGACTAGACTATAGACTAGACTATAGACTAGACTATAGACTAGACTATAGACTAGACTATAGACTAGACTATAGACTAGACTATAGACTAGACTATAGACTAGACTATAGAATAGACTATAGACTAGACTATAGACTAGACTATAGACTAGACTATAGACTAGACTATAGACTAGATCCTTAAACATTTGACTCCTTTAAAACACTGACAATCAGCAAGTGTAGAAAGGGAAAGAAGGAAAAAAATCATAAAAAATTTAAAAAGTATTTTTTAAACAGTATTTTTTTCAAATTTGCAATTATCTTGAAAAAAAATAACACAAAATTTCACTAATAACAAAACAGACAAAGGAGGAAAAAATACTAATCATAACCCAAAAAATAATGTTAAACTAAGTATGTATTGTTCATTTTAAAAAATTTTGTACTACATTTTATTTTTTCAGTACATTTTTTTCAAAAAAGCAGACAATAGCAATTTTAAGGTTATGTTCGATTTAAAATTTGGTTGTCTTGTCTGATTATGGTTAACATTGCCCAGGGTCACTATGCACAATGAATACTATGAACAAAACTATAAGTTTTTAAAAAAAATATTAAAGTATCATGACTTTAACATAATTTTTGGTTGGTTGTTAAGCTTTTTTTTTCTGTGGTTGCACTCATTTTTTTATTAAATTAAAATTGTATTCATTAGAGTTTGTTAGAGATAAAGTTTTCAATAAATGCTAAATATTTGTGGTACATTTTGATTAAGGCCTGTAAATCTAAATTCTTCAATTTTATGCTTTATGATTTCAATTTGTTTATAAGCATCTTTATAGTTTTACTAAGTATAACACCCTCCATCCACTGTAATCATCAGTGCTGTCGTTATTATCATCTTCAAGCTGAATCTTCATCTCAAACTTGTAGCTGAATAATTCTTGTAGGTTGTTTAGTGGTTTAAGTCTGCGCAATTTTTTATTACATATTATTTTTCATTTCTTTGCGGTACTAAATTGAATTTGAATTGTTTTTTATTCTCGCATTACGTGTAATCTATAACCCAACGAACATAAGATTGTTAAACACAATCAAAGCTTTAAAAACTGGACGAAGTTCGCTATCGTTGAGAAATCAATAATTGATCAGTTAAGTCTTACTTTTTGATTAGAAGTTTGTACTTAATCCAAATTTCACTATCGAAACAAAATGTTAGCTGGGTATTATTTAAATACCTCAAGTGCTTTTATTGTGCGTCTTTGTCTGGGTATGTGCGCTGCTGTTATTTTTTTTTGTAGGTGGTTTAATAATATTAATTTAAATATGTAAATTATGTAAAATACAAACAAAAAAATAATATGTAAGGTAATGTGTATTAGAATATTAAATTATATTCACTCGTTTGTTGTTTAAAGCGCAAAAACTAAATTGTTTTTGAGGTTATAATGTTGAATAATGTTTGATGTAACGGTATTTATTGGGTACGTAAATAAATACAGTTGGTGAAATAAGTTTAGAAACAGTTTAAAAACTCGACTATAGGCAAGATTAAGACTAGACATAGACTAGACACAGACTAGACATAGACTACATAGACTAGACATAGACTAGACATAGACTAGACATAGACTAGACATAGACTGACATAGACTAGACATAGACTAGACATATAGACTAGACTGATAGACTAGACATAGACTAGACTAGACTAGACTAGACTAGACTAGACATAGACTAGACATAGACTAGACATAGACTAGACATAGACTAGACATAGACTAGACATAGACTAGACATAGACTAGACATAGACTAGACATAGACTAGACATAGACTAGACATAGACTAGACATAGACTAGACATAGACTAGACATAGACTAGACATAGACTAGACATAGACTAGACATAGACTAGACATAGACTAGACATAGACTAGACATAGACTAGACATAGACTAGACATAGACTAGACTAGACTAGACTAGACTAGACTAGACATAGACTAGACATAGACTAGACATAGACTAGACATAGACTAGACATAGACTAGACATAGACTAGACATAGACTAGACATAGACTAGACATAGACTAGACATAGACTAGACATAGACTAGACATAGACTAGACATAGACTAGACATAGACTAGACATAGACTAGACATAGACTAGACATAGACTAGACATAGACTAGACATAGACTAGACATAGACTAGACATAGACTAGACATAGACTAGACATAGACTAGACATAGACTAGACATAGACTAGACATAGACTAGACATAGACTAGACATAGACTAGACATAGACTAGACATAGACTAGACATAGACTAGACATAGACTAGACATAGACTAGACATAGACTAGACATACTAGACATAGACTAGACATAGACTAGACATAGACTAGACATAGACTAGACATAGACTAGACATAGACTAGACATAGACTAGACATAGAAGACATAGACTAGACATAGACTAGACATAGACTAGACTAGACATAGACTAGACTATACAGACATAGACTAGACATAGACTAGACATAGACTAGACATAGACTAGACATAGACTAGACATAGACTAGACATAGACTAGACATAGACTAGACATACTAGACATAGACTAGACATAGACTAGACATAGACTAGACATAGACTAGACATAGACTAGACATAGACTAGACATAGACTAGACATAGACTAGACATAGACTAGACATAGACTAGACATAGACTAGACATAGACTAGACATAGACTAGACATAGACTAGACATAGACTAGACATAGACTAGACATAGACTAGACATAGACTAGACATAGACTAGACATAGACTAGACAAACTAGACATAGACTAGACATAGACTAGACATAGACTAGACATAGACTAGACATAGACTAGACATAGACTAGACATAGACTAGACATAGACTAGACATAGACTAGACATAGACTAGACATAGACTAGACATAGACTAGACATAGACTAGACATAGACTAGACATAGACTAGACATAGACTAGACATAGACTAGACATAGACTAGACATAGACTAGACATAGACTAGACATAGACTAGACATAGACTAGACAGACTAGACATAGACTAGACATAGACTAGACATAGACTAGACATAGACTAGACAGACTAGACATAGACTAGACATAGACTAGACATAGACTAGACATAGACTAGACATAGACTAGACTAGACTAGACTAGACTAGACATAGACTAGTCTAAAGATTAGGCAATAGACTAGCCAGCATACTAGTTTAAAGACTAGATTATAGACTATAGACACGTCTACAGACTACACTATAAATCAAACTATAGACTAACTATAGAGTCTATAGTAATACTATATACTCGACTATAGACGAGACCATGTCTAAACCATAGACCAGACCAGACTCAGTGATCACCGTGTTTCTTCTTCTAAAGAATTTTTTATTTTTATTTATGTTTCTTTTAATTTTAAAGATCTTTAAATCTCTTTTCAATTAAAAACCTAACGGTTCTTTTATTATCATCATAATATAATTTTTCATTTAATTCCTTAATTATAATTTCCATTGTTAAACGAAAAACGAAAACTAATTTCTTTTGACAACTGCACACATGTCTAAATCTAAAATAAAGATCTCAAATATCAACAAAAAAACACATTTCCTTTTATTAAAAACTCCTTAACATTTCAATAACTTCGTTCACATATTATTTTTAGACTTTTGTTATATAAAAAAGTAAAAGAAACTCTTGTTAGTCTTTCACTCTCCCTTCCACTTACCTTGTCTTATGGCACGTATCCAATCGTAACGTTCTTTATCACTACTCGCTACCAAATACAAGGTATATTGAGGAATACGTTGAGATTGATCATCAGAGGATTCACAATAACCTACTTGAAAAGGAAAACCCTAAAGAAATAAAACGAAATAAAAACATATAAAAATATTAAATTAAAAATAAATAATCTGTTTAATAAAAGAAAATAAAATTATTTCTCACATCCGGTGCAAAAGGATCACCGCCCTCACCATTCACTGTTGCTATTTCAACAAGTCTAACACCTTTAACAGGTATACGACCACGTTCACGTCGACGCTGCCATGGAAAGAGAGAAAAAGACAAAGGAAAAAAAATTAAATCCATGTTAAGAAAAATTACTGATTAAATTATACAGGAGAACAGGTAAGAATGGATAAAAATATATTTTTATATTGAATTTGAAGCAAAATTATATGCAAGCAAGGAAAAATACTAAAAGTTTATTAAGAAAGAGTGTGCACGGAAAAGTTTTAATGTTGATTATTTTATAGTCTAGTCTATCATCGAATCTATAATCTCTTCTATACCATAGTCTAGTCTATGGTCTAGTCTATAGTCTAGTCTATAGTCTAGTCTATAATCTAGTCTATAGTCTAGTCTATAGTCTAGTCTATAGTCTAGTCTATAGTCTAGTCTATAGTCTAGTCTATAGTCTAGTCTATAGTCTAGTCTATAGTCTAGTCTATAGTCTAGTCTATAGTCTAGTCTATAGTCTAGTCTATAGTCTAGTCTATAGTCTAGTCTATAGTCTAGTCTATAGTCTAGTCTATAGTCTAGTCTATAGTCTAGTCTATAGTCTAGTCTATAGTCTAGTCTATAGTCTAGTCTATAGTCTAGTCTATAGTCTAGTCTATAGTCTAGTCTATAGTCTAGTCTATAGTCTAGTCTATAGTCTAGTCTATAGTCTAGTCTATAGTCTAGTCTATAGTCTAGTCTATAGTCTAGTCTATAGTCTAGTCTATAGTCTAGTCTATAGTCTAGTCTATAGTCTAGTCTATAGTCTAGTCTATAGTCTAGTCTATAGTCTAGTCTATAGTCTAGTCTATAGTCTAGTCTATAGTCTAGTCTATAGTCTAGTCTATAGTCTAGTCTATAGTCTAGTCTATAGTCTAGTCTATAGTCTAGTCTATAGTCTAGTCTATAGTCTAGTCTATAGTCTAGTCTATAGTCTAGTCTATAGTCTAGTCTATAGTCTAGTCTAGTCTAGTCTATAGTCTAGTCTATAGTCTAGTCTATAGTCTAGTCTATATCTAGTCTATAGTCTAGTCTATAGTCTAGTCTATAGTCTAGTCTATAGTCTAGTCTATAGTCTAGTCTATAGTCTAGTCTATAGTCTAGTCTATAGTCTAGTCTATAGTCTAGTCTATAGTCTAGTCTATAGTCTAGTCTATAGTCTAGTCTATAGTCTAGTCTATAGTCTAGTCTATAGTCTAGTCTATAGTCTAGTCTATAGTCTAGTCTATAGTCTAGTCTATAGTCTAGTCTATAGTCTAGTCTATAGTCTAGTCTATAGTCTAGTCTATAGTCTAGTCTATAGTCTAGTCTATAGTCTAGTCTATAGTCTAGTCTATAGTCTAGTCTAAAGTCTAGTCTATAGTCTAGTCTATAGTCTAGTCTATAGTCTAGTCTATAGTCTAGTCTATAGTCTAGTCTATAGTCTAGTCTATAGTCTAGTCTATAGTCTAGTCTATAGTCTAGTCTATAGTCTAGTCTATAGTCTAGTCTATAGTCTAGTCTATAGTCTAGTCTATAGTCTAGTCTATAGTCTAGTCTATAGTCTAGTCTAGTCTAGTCTATTCTAGTCTATAGTCTATAGTCTAGTCTATAGTCTATAGTCTATAGTCTAGTCTGGTCTAGTCTATAGTCTAGTCTAGTCTATAGTCTAGTCTAGTCTATAGTCTAGTCTATAGTCTAGTCTATAGTCTAGTCTATAGTCTAGTCTATAGTCTAGTCTATAGTCTAGTCTATAGTCTAGTCTATAGTCTAGTCTATAGTCTAGTCTATAGTCTAGTCTATAGTCTAGTCTATAGTCTAGTCTATAGTCTAGTCTATAGTCTAGTCTAAAGTCTAGTCTATAGTCTAGTCTATAGTCTAGTCTATAGTCTAGTCTATAGTCTAGTCTATAGTCTAGTCTATAGTCTAGTCTATAGTCTAGTCTATAGTCTAGTCTATAGTCTAGTCTATAGTCTAGTCTATAGTCTAGTCTATAGTCTAGTCTATAGTATAGTCTATAGTCTAGTCTATAGTCTAGTCTATAGTCTAGTCTAGTCTATAGTCTAGTCTAGTCTATAGTCTAGTCTAGTCTATAGTCTAGTCTAGTCTATAGTCTAGTCTATAGTCTAGTCTAGTCTATAGTCTAGTCTATAGTCTAGTCTATAGTCTAGTCTATAGTCTAGTCTATAGTCTAGTCTATAGTCTAGTCTATAGTCTAGTCTATAGTCTAGTCTAGTCTAGTCTATAGTCTAGTCTATAGTCTAGTCTATAGTCTAGTCTATAGTCTAGTCTATAGTCTAGTCTATAGTCTAGTCTGTAGTCTAGTCTATACTCTAGTCTATAGAAATGATCTAGTATTGAATAACATAAGGTTTCCACTTAAATACCAATACCGGTACCAAAACTTTCCTACATAATCTGTAATCTGAGGTCCAATAATAAAAATTACCCACAAATTTTACGACTTAAGACACAAAACAAGTGGTATGTATGATATGTATGTTTTGGTTCCTACCACTCACACTTTTTTTTGGACAGAAGACTTATTTAAGTTCTTCACTTAAGTTTCCTCAAGTGTTTATATGTTTGCTGCAAAAGAAAAAAATGTTGACACTTTTTTCCCTTAATCTTCGTTACGTTGCGTCTAAAAAAGCGGTTTAAAGTTTCCTATTGGCTTGAAGTGTTTGTGTTAAGTTTTCATAAAATATTAAATAGCTTGGGGTTAAATAATTCCTCAGCGTGAATTACAAGTGTTAACAAGTGTAATATTCAGTTTAGTTTGTTTTTTTTTTTTCGTTTTTATTGCAAAAATATGTAGGTTATGATGCACAATAACAATCGTCAGAACACATGTTGCCGGCCTAACAACGTCAACGACTGGCAATAACCAACAATTTCTTTTAAGGTTTCTTTAATGAAAGAGTTAAGTGCAAAGTTTTTAAAGGGATTTAAAGAAAAACAACATTAAATATAATAGATTTAAAGTTGTTCTAAATTTATAAACTTTTTTGTTGCATCTTTTGTGAATTATTTTAAAATATTAAAGCTCTGTCAAAGTCGAAAATAAACTGAAAATTAACTAAATAACATTTATTATATGAGGAGTATATGTAACACTATCTAGGTACGTAAATATGTATGTAGTAAGTATACATATGTAAATGATTAATGTAACATTAATTGACTTTCACTTCCTTTCCATTTCAATTTAAATTTATGAAAAAATTTCATTAAAATCGTCTCCAAACTGTACAATTTAACGATTCTTCGTGATGATGATGACGACGACTTTATAATTTGGAATTAATGTGAGTATATTTACAACTGAATGGTAATGTGTGTTAAATTTTTCAACAATTTTAACACAATTTTGTTGTGAATGAGAGGAGGATTAAATAAATTAAATTAGGTGTATATTTGTTGTATTGCATGTTTTTTTAGATCTGCGTGACCGTCAATGCTTAATGGAATTGAATGCTTAACTAACTAACTAACTAACTAACTAACTACTAACTAACTAACTAACTAACTAACTAACTAACTAACTAACTAACTAACTAACTAACTAACTAACTACTAACTACTAACTAACTACTAACTAACTAACTACTAACTAACTAACTAACTAACTAACTAACTAACTAACTAACTACTAACTAACTAACTACTAACTAACTAACTAACTAACGAACTAACTAACTAACTATCTAACTAACTAACTAACTAACTAACTAACTAACTAACTAACTAACTAACTAACTAACTAACTAACTACTAACTAACTAACTAACTAACTAACTAACTAACTAACTACTAACTAACTAACTAACTACTAACTACTACTAACTAACTAACTAACTAACTACTAACTAACTAACTAACTAACTAACTAAAAACTAACTAACTAACTAACTACTAACTAACACTACTAACTACTAACTACTAACTAACTAACTAACTAACTACTAACAACTAACTAACTAACTAACTAACTAACTAACTAACTAACTAACGAACTAACTAACTAACTAACTATCTAACTACTAACTAACTAACTAACTAACTACTAACTAACTAACTAACTAACACTAACTAACTAACTAACTAACTAACTAACTAACTACTAACTAACTAACTACTAACTAACTAACTAACTAACTAACTAACTACTAACTAACTAACTAACTAACTAACTACTAACTAACTAACTACTAACTAACTAACTAACTAACTAACTACTAACTAACTAACTAACTAACTAACTAACTAACTAACTAACTAACTAACTAACTAACTAACGAACTAACTATCTAACTAACTAACTAACTAACTAACTACAACTAACTACTAACTAACTAACTACTAACTAACTACTAACTAACTAACTAACTAACTAACTAACTAACTAACTAACTACTACTAACTAACTAACTAACTAACTAACTAACTAACTAACTACTAACTAACTAACTAACTAACTAACTAACTAACTACTAACTAACTAACTAACTAACTACTAACTAAACTAACTAACTAACTAACTAACTAACCACCAACTAACTAACTACTACTAACTAACTAACTAAACTAACTAACTAACTAACTAACTAACTAACTAACTACTAACTAACTAACTAACTAACTAACTAACTATAACTACTAACTAACTAACTAACTAACTAACTAACTAACTAACTACTAACTAACTAACTAACTAACTAACTAACTAACTAACTACTAACTACTAACTAACTAACTAACTAACTAACTAACTAACTAACTAACTAACTAACTAACTACTAACTAACTAACTACTAACTAACTAACTACTAACTACTAACTAACTAACTAACTAACTAACTAACTAACTAACTAACTAACTAAACTAACTAACTAACTAACTAACTAACTAACTAACTAACTAACTAACTACTAACTAACTAAACTACTAACTAACTAACTAACTAACTAACTAACTACTAACTACTAACTAACTAACTAACTACTCTAACTAACTAACTACTAACTACTAACTAACTAACTAACTAACTAACCTAACTAAC